AAAATCTGGAATAAATTTATTTGCACTGTAAAAATTCCGGAGTGAATTCGCAGTCGCTATCTACGGGAAAGGACAGAACTACATCCCAGACCAGCCTGGCCAGCTCCCCCTACATAAAATACGAAGACACCTTCCACTTTAGTAACAATAGAAATTCTATATTTTTTGTTGTATATATTAACTATTTATATTTATTATCATAACTATTCGCCGACCAACTGTAATCAATGGCAGTCGTTGTCCGTGGTAAGAGATTTATTATGAGTTCTCCCCGTGAGTCATGTTCACTTTTTTTTTTCGATTATTTTTTTCACCTACCTAGAAGAAATCTAGAAACATGTTAATAAGACAAATCGGGAGCAGAAATAAAACTGCAATTTATAACGGTCGGCATAACAAATTGTGTTAACATGTTTCCATTTTACGACGAATTATATGATTATTTATAATAAATGTAGGTTAAGTAAATCTTACAAAAAATTACTGACAAGAAATTTACATTTTATATCCTTGTACTAACTAGTGTTATACTCATTATCGCGACTAAAACACATTTAAAAAAGTATTATAGTTCTTATAATTTAATCTGTATATACATATAAAGAATACGTTCACTAAATAGGAGACTTTCGTTTTAGGGAAAGTGAACATTATGCATTGAGTTAAATATAACTCATTTCGATGCTCTTAATTAAACTAAAAAAAAATTAGGAAAGTTTAAGAAACTTACATAGCACGGCGGCATTTATACATTTTATAAAATATGTATTATAGAATGCACGGCGGCGGCGGATCAGAGGCGGCCATTTCGTTCACTGGGTATCATTAGAGACGGCTATGTAAAAATCCAACAAGAATCTTATAGCTTCGGATAGATATACCATTTTATAGGCGGTATACCATCTTATTTACACCAGACTTACTGGCGACGGATTGCAGCGTCAAGGTGAGAGACGTCTATCCGTCTGCTAGGTGTGGTGATTAAGGCAAATTTATAGGTAGTAGGGTCTTTTTTCTGCCTAAAAGTACGTCTGGGTAGATACCAACCTCTTACCTAATTTTGTCGCCAAGTACCTATGCTTACGGTGCTGTATTTCGACACATCTGTAGCTTTGCTTGAGGTTGGTTGCAAGTGTGCTAGGACTGCAGCAGCCACTTACCATCAGGTGGACTGTTAGTTCGTTGCCACTTCAGTTTTATATAATAAACTAGCTGATACCCGCGACTTCCTCCGCGTTGCTTGATATATCAACAAAGATTTCGTATGTACAAAAGAAAAAATGTCAAAATGATCTCGCACAAAATTTCTTTGTAAACAATGTTATTCGTTGCTCCGTTTGTAGCTAAAATATATTATAAACTAGCTTACCAGGCAGACGTTGTTCTGCCCATACCGACGACCCTCTCTTCTGTTAAAAAATCCTTAAAATAGTAATAAAAAAAATTGAGGGTCATTTATCGGGATAAAAACTGTCCTATCTCTCAAGTTAGACCAAAATGCACACAGTGTGCAAAATTTCATTGAAATCAGTTCAGTAGTTTAGGAGTCCATCGCGGACAAACAACGTGACACGTAATTTTTATATATAAAGATTATAACAACCGACACTACAACGGGAAAGTTCTAACCATATTCAGAATCAGAATCAGAATCAGAAATATTTATTGGCCATAATATAACAATCGTTACAGGCAAGTCATTGGTTACAAAAGTTCTTAAATTTATAAGGTTAAATTACATTATTTAATTACATTATTGTACTTTAGTTACATTGACGCTTTACATCATAGAATTAGGTAAGTTATTTTGTTTGCACTTTGCACAAGAATGATGATTCCAAGAGTTGCATTGACATGTATTCGCTTAATTTGTAAAATGGGTTATTTTCAAAAAAATACTTAAGTTTTCGTTTAAATATGCTACAGTTTAGGCTGGTTATACTTTTTGGTAATTTATTATACATCAATATTTTTGAGTAACGCCCTTGTTTTTTTACTTTGTTTAATCTATTCATTGGTAGAACACGTTTTTCATTATAACGCAGATTGTATTGATTTACGTCTTTCTTTTTTGGTATTTCCTTATCCTCGTGTACCATTAATAAACTATTATATATATAAAGCGAAACCACTGTCATTATTTTATCGTTCTGAAAATGTTTTCTTGCCGGACTACTTTTTTTCAGACCATTGATTATTCTTATAGACTGTTTGTGACATTTTAAAACTTTTATTATATCCGTAGCATTACCCCAAATAGTAATGGTATACCTTATTATAGAATGAATATAGGCATAGTACACAGATATGAGTGTCTTTTTATCTCATTTATCATCATTCATTAGTCGACTTGTACAGGCTGATGATGAAGAAGAAGTTTTATACCTTCTTCTTTTTGATACATGATTTGATTTGTGCACCTGGTAGTTAATTAATAGAATACAGGCGTTACTTTGCGGAAATCCATTATAATGGGGTTGTTATAAACTAATTTGCTTAATACCGCGTAAAGAAAGAAAATGTTGTGTCCTGCCCAGTTTTAAGGGGACCTCCCACCCTCCCTCAATCGCGCGCACTATACCTGTCGTCGCCAATCCCAGCACTACCATCCCCATCACCACCACACTAGGCACGATACACTACTCTCGAAAATACGACACGTGTTTCGCCTCTACACGAGGCATTCTCAGCCCGGCTAGCATGGGCGGGGGACAAAAATTTTATCCCCCGATTACATCCACTGACAAGAGATAAAATTATCTTGTTATGTCAAACGGGGCGAAGTATATCCCCATTTGACATAACGAGTAGCCATATATCCCCCGTCCGTAGCATGGAGCCAAATAAAAGATAAAAAATTATGTTTTTTGACATTTGAAAGGGACAATTTTATCCTAGTTCATTGGACGTGGGTTGAAGTTTATATTCATACAAAAAAATCTAAGTCTAAGTCTATCTCCCAATTTATCTACTGTGGATATTATATCCACCGGTGTGCCCATGCACTAAAGGTGGATAAAACTAAGCGATTGGATAAACATTTTCTCCTGTCCCCGGGGATAAAATTGTCTCCTGCCCATGCTAGCCCTGCTGGTGAAGTAGACACTGCGGCGGCTGGCCGCTCAGTTTATAACAACCCCATCACCTTGTAGTTATTTAACTATAGTGCATTTCCGACCCACATACAATCTATTCAGTTACTTCAACAATTCTTCACAATTATTTCCGTAGCATAATGCCTTATGGGATTTTGCTATGGGGAAATGCGGCTGATTCAGAAACTATTATTGTTTTACAGAAGAGAGCCATTAGAGCTATTTACAATCTAAAACCGAGAGAGTCTCTTAGAGATAAATTTAAAGAAATAAATATATTAACTTTGGCCTCTCAGTATATTTACGAAAATTTAATGTATGTTCACAAAAACAAAGATAGTTTTAGCAAAAAAAGTGATATACATTCTGTAAACACTAGGAACAAACACAAGCTAGTGATGCCAGTTTCTCGACTCCACAGAGTCAGTAATTCATTCTTGGGGCAATGTATACACTATTACAACAAGGTCCCGGAAAGTGTATAAGTTCTCTCTATTACCAAGTTTAAATGTTTTATTAAGCTAAAACTGTATAAAAAGGGTTATTATAGTATAAATGAATACATGGTTGATAATAACCCCTGGGAATGAGGTGGTCGCTTCCAAGCAGTTTCTAAAATAAATTTTGTAAAAGTCCCGCTGGGTTTCTTGCTGGTTCTTCCCAGGACAGAGGGATTTTTTTTTTCAACCAGTGGTAAAGTAAAAAATGACTCAATAAGAATTACACATGTAATGTATATTAAATAAAAATTATTCTATTCTATTGAAGCATCCACAAAGTCGGCACGTTTTATACCACACGAAACTCACAGTATTTTTATATTTTCGAGTGTACATATTTATGTATGTCTATATATCCTTTGACACGACGATACAAAACACAGCAGGTTTAAGCTGCTATTTTACGATACTATTCTGTGTGAGCGTGGTCTTAAACCGGTCGATCCGACCCATTTGTGCTACAATTATAATATAGCTGCAGCATTGCTCTACCACGTATAAGAAGTCCCTCATTGGTCAAAATGATTGAAATGAAAGCTGTTAAGGCTTCATGGATTTTAACAATGGAGTGTCGTTAGATTCACACACACAAACACTGACGCCTGTCACCCAGAGGGGTAGGCAGAGACTACGGACTCCCATTTGGCGCGATCCTGACACACCTCTCTCGCCTCCTTTACATCCATATATCTACGCATACACGCTCGTTAGATTCGTCTTAATTATTGACATAGGGTGTACATTTTTCTTTCTCTTTTCAGTAAATATTTTACGCAGTCGAGTATTTTTTAATCTACTGTTTTATCCATTAGGTTTTTTACGCCCACGGTTTTTACTTTAATGGATCTAGCTATGATTATCATGAATTTTAAATATATATATAATATACTTTTTATTCATCATAATCATCATCACTACTGCCTACAGGCAAGTCCACTGCTGAACGTAGGCCTCCCCCAAAGAATACCGCAAAGCACTGTTCTGAGCCACCTGCCTCCATCGACTGCCTGCATCTCTTACCAGTCGTCACTCTTTGTTCTGGAAACAATTTATCGTTTTTAACAATATCAATTGCAATAAAATGACCGACTTAACCAACTTTTTAACCGACTTCAAAAAGGAAGACGTTCTCAATGCGAGTGTGCGCAGATTACGAACTAATTTTGATGTTATTTTTTATTAAATAGGTTATTCTTCTACTTCAAGAGTGGTCCCATATAAATTTGGAAAAGAAATTCACCCCTAAGGGTAGCAAATAAATAACTTCTTTATTAACAATTTGAAGTCGGTTTTAAATTTTTTTTTAAAGTTATAATTATGATTGTGTTTAGTCATGATCATTCGACCTCAAACTGTGTACTTACAGATGTGTAATTTCGTGATGTACATTTACGTTTTGTTGCAGTGACTTCGAGCAGCAACTTTCGCCATTCCTCATACAAAACTCTTGCGATGAAGAAGTAGTACAACCAGCCCTTAAGCCTATGAGCCCGGAGAACGGTCAGGATGTGATCATCCAGGACAGCAACGAAGTATCGAACAGTTCCATCGAGTCAGTCGAAGAAGCTATCGATATGCTGGACTTTGAACAGAACGTCGTGCCCGGATTCTTAAATAAAAATACATTCCAAAGCCCCGGTGAGTCGATGTGTTTACTCAGATGTCTACTGTTATTGTAGTATTACGACTAAGTAATTCATATTATGTACACACTAAAACAGTAACTGGTACATAACCTTAAACTTAAACAAATGACATGACTTTATGCCGATCATACTGTAGCCATACAGAAATAAATACAAAAAAAATACAATATACAAACACTCACGCCTGTCACCCAGAGGGGTAGGCAGAGACTACGGACTTCCATTTGGCGCGATCCTGACACAACTCTCTTGCCTCCTTTACATCCATATATTTACGCATACACGCTCGTCGGTTAAGGGTTAACCTGCCCCATTTTCAATGTATCACCGATTTGGTCGATAAATCTTCGTATAGGGCGTCCCTTCCCGACTTTGCCGTTCACTTCTGAAACATAAATTTGCTTTGTCACACTTTCCTCGTTCATTCGTTCTACGTGACCAAACCATCGAAGCATTCCCTTTTTAATCCTAGTCACAACGTCATCTTGCAAACCACACTTCTCTTAGCACACTATTTCTCGCCCTGTCATTCAGATTCAGCTCTAGCATACTCTACAGCCTTTATTCTACTCTCATGCTTCTTCTGCCATACCCAACTTTCACTAACATACATTAAAGTAGGGACTAACACAGCATTTTGAATTGCGATCGTGCCTTCTTTGACACATTCTGACTCTTCATAATAGCGTGTAGAGCCCCATTAACTCTATTTCCTGCGTTCACTCGTCGTTCTATATCCTTATCATATCTACCATCCCTGCTAAATAAACATCCCAAATATACAAACTCATCCACTTGCTCAATCAACTCCCCTTCTATTCTTATTTCACATAACGTTTTACTTTCTTCTCTTTCAAAAACCATCACTTTCGTCTTACTTGCGTTCACTTTCATACCCCTTTCCTTTAATGACCAGTTCAATAAATTAACCATCATTTGCAACTCGGCCGCTGACGATGCAAATATGACTTGATCATCGGCGTACAAAAGGCATTTGACGGTTAACTCACCCATTCTCAACCCACATTCTTCAACTTTCAAAGTTTGCAAACAACTGTCCATAAATAGGTTAAACAGCCACGGAGAGGCTACACAGCCCTGTCTGACACCTATTTGAATGCCAAACCAGTCCGAGTAGGCCCCGTTGATCCTGACACAAGCACTAGAGTCCCTGTAAAGAGACCTTAATGCCTGTATCAGACCAGCGCTCAACCCAAATGAGGTTAGTGTTTGCCATAACACGTTCCTGTCCACTCTGTCATAAGCCATTTCCAAGTCCATGAACGCACAAAAAACTTTCTGGTTTTTGGCCAAAAATTTCTCCGCAATCATGCGCATGGAAAAAACTTGATCCATACTTGATCTAAATCCAGCTTGCACATCCCAAATTTTTCCATCAGTTTCTTCCATAACTCTTAATTAACACCTTAGCATACAGTTTACCCACAATGCTAAGCAAGCTGATCCCACGGTAGTTTTTACAGTCCTGCTGCGACCCCTTTCCCTTATATATTGGAACTATAACGGCTTTGCACCAGTCTTCTGGTACCCGCTTCAGTTCCCAACATAAATTAAACAAGGTGTACAGCAGGCCTGCAACCACACCCTCTCCAGCCCTTAGCATTTCGAGTGATACTCTATCATATCCGGCTGCCTTACCTGCTTTCATTATTTCATCTACACTTATCTCCCTACCTCGCTCCACTTCTTCCGGAATTTCTATTTCACTTACTTCAGACGACTCTTCACTCTTAAACACGGTTTCAAAGTATTCCTTCCATCTCTTTAAATAAATAATGTTTATTCAATAAAAAAATTAAAAAAAGATAACATAGCTTCTAATAGATGGTAGGTGGTATAAACATCTCGTTTACTGTTACCGTTACAGTCTATCAAATGTCCACTTTTAATCATAGGCCTCCCTCCCCCATAGACAGCTTCATGGGGTGTATAGAATAGAATAGAATCATTTTTATTTAATATAGATTACATGTAATTATTATTGAATCATCTTTTACTTTTACCACTGGTTTTGAAAAAAACCGCTATCCTGGGAAGAACCGGCAAGAAACCCAGCGGAACTTTATTTTTAAAAGCCTAATTTACAATATAATATTTATACAATTGTTATAAAAACAGAAACAGCATGGTAGCGATCAAGTTAGGTAAAGAATTAATAGTAATTATTATCATACAAAGAATCCTTTTCACAGTATCTCCTTTATCCGCACACAGAGTAATGAAATCTGAATGCGTCAATGTAGGTATTAGACTTAAATCTTAATTACTCCTGGACGGGTTGATTGCATTAGCAAGTGTTGTTGTTGTGTGTATGCCAATCCACAAGGCATACAGAATATAAAACGAAATGCTATTGTGATGTATTTTAATAAATCTGGGATCAATTATAAGAACTGACATTACTTTCTTAACAGATTTTGAAGAAAATAAATAGTTTTTTTCTTGAAATACTACTAGTATTAAACCTTAATCTAATGTTCGTAATATCTATTTCATTGTTTTTATCATTTATAAAATATTTAATACTTTATAACAATTTTCTTTTTAAGTAATACTTGCGTAAAATAAAGGTATCTATACGAGTTCTCAATTTCGCAACATCCCAACGATATTGCGATTCAGTGATAGCCACGTTATTGCTTCTGATTCATCGCATTTACATTTTGTATTCACAAGACACAATCTTGTTTTGTAAAGGGAATTTATTAAACGTGCGGAAAAAATATTTGTTGCCGGCTGACAACGACATTCTCATACTGATTTAAGCAGCCTTTTTTTTGCAAATACGTACTTAACTTCCTTCTGATGTTGATCCATAATAAATTTCAAATAGTATGCAAACAATTAGGTCCATAATGCCTCTTAAAATTTTAGGAGAGCGATATAAATTATAAATAAGTATCGAAAATACTAGGTTAGCGACGAGAAAAATGTGATTGCCAGTAGGTTAAAATACGGCTGGGGTGGCCCAAAGCAAAATATTACACAGGGTTATTTTTCAAAGAGTAGTCAAATTTTAAACTTAAGTACAAATATGTAACTAATGATATAGCGTTATTGCAGTTTTTGAAAATACGAGAAAATAAGACTACTACTATTTTTATTACTACTACTTTTATTTGAAATTATCCCAAATTGAATGTGATTTATGTGCAACAAAGTTTTTGCCTGCCGATCGACACTTACGAATGTGTGCGTGCGCAGTAAAATCAGTTAAAATTGTGAATATAAAAGACAATAATTGAGATTTTTTAAAATGAATTTTTCTTCACTATTTGCTTATATTGCTTATTCTGAACCTTCTTTGCAAATTTGGCCGGTTATTGCAAAATAACCCTGTATAATACGAAAAAATAATATTACACTAATGTCATCTTCATAACATTATGGTGCTTAGCAATATTTTTCTTGGTGATGTTTCGCTTTATTAATCTGCTCACTCATTTTAAAAGATTAGCTAAAAGTTACCTGGTGGTAGGACTTCTTTTTTGCCTAATTTTTTTTTATAGGATAAGGGTGACAAACGAGTACACAGTCCACCTGATGGTAAGTGGTTGCTGTGGCCCATAGATATCTACATCTATCTCCGTTTGCGAATTAAAATGCAGATGCGTTGTCAGCCGTGAGGACTAAGATAGAACGCCTCTTTGCCAGTAAAATGTGTCTCCGGTTCTTTATACTCACCATACAAAACACAGCAGCATTAAACTGCTACGAGCCGACCCATTCATGCTACAACTATACTATAGTCCGTCTGGGGTGATACCAACTTCTTATCTATTTCTGCCGCCAAATAGCAATGCTGTGTTCCTATACTGGCTCTGTATAGCAGGCTGTGAGGCATTCCTCAGACGAGCAACGCATCTGTAGTGTTATTTGCTTAAAGTTGGCTGCAGTTGTCCTTGGACTGCAGTAACCACTTGCCAGCAGGTGGACTGCAAATTCGTTTGTCACTTCAGTTTTATAAAAAAAATATATATAATATGTAATGGGGGACAAAACATTGCTACAGAAATTAGTTCGCTCAAACAATATGATGCTGCTCGTTTTAAATAAATAGTAAACTCAGTTTGTATTTTCGCAGTAAGTTTATTTTTCAAACTTTTACTTTAAATTTAGAGTCAGTCATTTAAAGAGGTCCTTTCTCGACTAATATATGAAATCACGGGTTTTTTACTCAATACGTTATGTACAGAGGACAGAGGACATGACATTATGTACATAGATGTTCAGTAAATAATGGGTCTGGGGATTACAGTTTGTGAAGAGTTTCCGTCCCGAGACTAATATATTATTTAGAGACGTTATTAGTTTTCGGGCCGTGGCTGATGTGAAAGTTTTCCTCAATCTGTTGATCGTGACTCCTAACTTCGATCGTGTCGAAAATAGTTTATCTTATGTCAATCTAAATTGTGTGTTCATGAATATTATGTTAGTACGTTAGTTGTTTCTTCTGTGGCAACTTATTCGATTTAATATATTTGTTAACAAAGGAAATTATATGAATATTTTTGAAAGGATTTTTTTTAGAAAAATATCCAATGTACATAATTTCTTTTTTTTATATATATACAATATGTAACAAAAACCCTGTGGTTCCCGTTAAGTACGTTATCAGGATCGTTATTGAAACTTATAGAAATAACTTTTTTTTTAAAACTCTACCAATAATTTTTTTATTTTATTTAAAAAAAATAATTGTATGCAAATTGTATGTGGTTTTATTACCTCTGCATTGTCCGGGGAGTAAGAGGATTGTCAAACACCCCGCTTTACTTTGCTTTAGCATCGGCTAGTGTCAGTAAGAGGTAATAAATACACATAAAAGTTGTCGAGTTTTTCAAAAAAAGTTATTTCTATAGGTTTGAATACTGATCCTGATAACGCAATTAACGGGAACCACAGGGTTTTTGTTACATGTTGTATATAACGTAATTTGTTTTAGGTAAAGGTAACAGAAAACGCCGTCTCTCCCTAACCCCGCAAGTCGTCGTCCAACCGAAAGTGCAAAAGCCCTCTATCAGAATACCCGTGAACAATGTACAAAAACCCCAATTAGTAGTGAAAGCCCAGCCTCAGAAGCCCGTTAAAGTGACTAACGTTCAGGTTATAAACCCGCAACCCACAAAAGTTTACTCAAAACCTGTGGAGTCGGTTGCACCCCAGCGAAGAGTGATAAGGGTTGCACCTATGGCCGGAAACCCGCGTTCGATCCTCTTACCCGTGACGATTAAAGACATGAAGGACCTGAAATCGATAAAAATAATAAACGCAGCCGATTTGAAGAACGCGTCGAACATCAAACTAGCGGCCGCAAATTTACTGTCGCAAAGAAAACTACGAGATCTTAAAGAGGAAACGCGAAGTGACTACGACTACGAACATGGCGGCAATCATTGCGGTGAGTGCCCTTTCGATTATTTTTTATTGGGTGTAGTTCGATCTGACTCACGTTGATTAAAAGTAATTGTTTGAATTTGATAGTTAGGCAATTTTGACTTGTAGCGCAGGGAACGCCTATCCATTACAACCTATAAACGTCCACTGCTGAACATATAGGGCTCCCCAGAGATTGCCTCATAGGAGGGATTTTGCCATAGTTGCCACGCGTGGCAGACGGGTTGGTAACCGCAGTTTTTGTAATATTTTGAGGTTTTACATATTGCACTTTAATTGTCAAGTATCATATACTTAATTTCCGAAAGCTATGTGTAATTGTTTCTAGTAAGATGTGATTTTAAATATCAATTTTTCATTTAAAATTTAGAGTAACTTGATTTCCTGTTCTATGCAATGAATTTTCTTTTGTTGTTTATTTTCCAACAAAATGGAGGCGCTAATGCTTCATTTGTTACGAAGTTAAATTATGATTACTTAGAAGAAGCTAAAATTGGATTTTAATTCAGTTGCGTCTTGTAACATTTACAAAGATTATTTTTAAATTATTATTTTTGATGATAAAAAGCCGTGGTAGCGTCTTAAATTTCACAGTTCGCAAGTAGGTTAGGTAGGTTCGATACCCGCCGGCACTAATGAATGCAATTTTATTTGCTGATTTACCTCGTGCCCGTGGAGAAAAACTTCATAAGGAAACCGGCATGTCTGAGAAATAAAAATAGATAAAAGATAAAAAAAATTCAAAAACAAGTGAAGTCCGCCGATACACATTAGGGTAGGTCGGCGGGCACAACCTTACCGTAAAAAAAACCATCTCAAAAAGGAGAGAAAGCCTCCGCCCAATTGTAGGACGTATATAGCATGTATAACTCTTTAACTATGGTTAGACGATCCATCATTTCATAATATTAAGACTAACTCTTGAGTGACCTAAAATCAAGATGACAATTAGAATGTCGTCTAAACAGTTAATACATTAAAAACTTCATCCCCCTTTTTAACCCTTATGATTTTTATTTATAGTCGACCCCCTTCATGTCTATACAATACATGATACATACATGATAGGGAACCTTCTCCTTCGTTATAATCAGCTAACATTTTAATGACGTCGTCCATAAATCTTCTGTAATGAAAGCCGAAAACAAGAAAAAGGCCTTAACTTATAGTCTTTTGCAAGCATTTGATTTTCATCAGTCCGTAAGCCAACTATTAATAGATATGGATCTCGCTAATTACAGCTATTTTCCAGTGGCTACTGACTGGTGGAATACAGAATTGTTGTTTTTCTTATCATAAATGTTGATAGTCCTAATCAAACAGTTTGTTTGACAACAAATCGTTTTATTCTCAAATCTTAGATGATTCTGGAAGTGATCGAAGCGAAGACGACGAAACGGATCATAAAGAAAGCAAAGTTACGGACGCTAGAAACGGCTATCCCCGTCTCGTTCTCACAGCCGAAGAAAGGCGGTTGTTAGCAAAGGAGGGAATATCGCTCCCCACCAGCTATCCGCTAACCAAACACGAGGAAAGGGAATTGAAGAGGATCCGACGTAAAATCAGGAATAAGATCTCAGCTCAAGATTCCCGTAAGCGCAAGAAGGAATATGTTGATGGGCTTGAAGACAGGTAAGAGTTGTGTGTGAAACATTTAAATACTCTTTAAAAAGATATGTATAAACAAATGCCCATAATATGCAACAATAATTCTTCACATTATATATTTATGTTGCGTTAATATTCATTCATTACAGCCTACCAAAAGTCCACTGCTGAACATGCTGAGCATAGCCTTCCTCCATAGATTTCCTCAAAAGGCAAGATGTTATTGTCCATCTCCTGTTTTAGTTTTCCTCTATCGCTTCTTACGACACCTACAGAACGATATTGGGTAGTGCGTGGTTTCTCAAAGTGGGGTACGCGAACCAATAGGGACTGCACACCTGCAGGTCATTTATATGACTATACTCACACTAATAACATATTGCTCTATGTGACTGTATTTTTTAAATCATAAAACCCTTATTTTCGTCTTTAGGCAGTTTTTTTTAGGGGTTCACCACTGTCTTTTCATTTATGGGACAATGTATACGCTTTCACAACAAAATCCCAGAACATGTTCAAAGTTTGTCAATAAACATGTTCTATAAGATTTATTAAAGAAAAACTGTACAAAAAGGGTTATTATAATATTATCAAGGAATACATGAATGAAAATAACCCATGGGAATGAGGTGATCGCCACCATGTTAAGTTTATGAAAATTCATTTAAAAATTGTACAAACAAAATTACTGTAAAGTGAAATATGTTTTAAAAAAAATCCCGCTGTGTTTCTTACTGGTTCTTCCCAGGACAGAGGTATTTTCCGAACCAGTGGTAAATAAAAAAATGACTTTCGATTAGTATTATGTAATAATAAATATTGAATAAAAAGTCATTGTATTCTATTTCATTCTGGGAAATTTAATAGGGGTACGTGGGGCCATAAGTTTAGAAAGCCTGGAATTGTGGATTATCTAACGCCGCCACCACAAATTATTAAATAAGTTAATTTTCAAATCACTGCAATATACTTAATTTTAACCGATTACGAAGACAAGTATGTTGACCATTAGTTGGACCAGCAATATAAAGTGATACATAGTGATAAAGTCCGCTAATATAAGGTCTAGATTCTAGAATCTAGCGGAGTTGAACTATCGATGTACTTAATCGCCGGTAATCAAACACTAAACTACGTATTAAATTTTTAATCAAAATTTACGTAGGTACATAATTATAACTTTTAACAAAAAGTAAAAACCGACGTCAAATTGCTAAAAACCAAGTTATTTATTTGCTACCCTTAGGGGTGGAATTATTTCTCCAAATGTATAAAGTCCCACCCTTGAAGTATAACCTATTTAATAAAAAAAGAATCATCAAAATTGGTTCACAATCTGCGAAGATACCGCGTAACATACATACCAAAAAAGCTTACACTCGAATTGAGAACCTTTTCATTTTTGAAGTCGGTTAATAAAACAAATCCGATCCGTGTACAGATTTTATACAATAAAAGTGAAAAATCATTCTGAGAGCTTATTAATCACTAAAGTGACAAACAACTAAGTAATTAATCAAATCGCAAATGGCTTCCGCCGCAGCCTATGGACACTTGCTTTTACGTGACTCAAACAAAAAAAAAATTAAATGCTTTGCCACATGACGTGTACGCAACTGTGAGTCAGCAAGTGAAAGAAAGGAGGATCTGTCACTTGTTGACTATGGCAGATATAGGCACGAAATAGTCTTATCATACCTAGAGTTACTATAGATTTAATGTAACCTCACTCTTTAATCTTACTTTAATAATGTTGGCTGCTGTAGATTGTGACTAACATCATAACTTACCATTAGGTTTTTTTTTATAGGATAAGGGTGTCAAGCGAGCACACAGTCCACCTGATAGTAAGTGGTTACTGTGGCCCATAGACATCTACATCTATCCTCGTATGCGAATCAAAATGCAGATGCGTTGTCAGCCTATGCGCTGTCAGGACTAAGATGGAATGCCTCTTTTCCAGTAAAAAGGGTCTCCAGTTCTCTACACTCACCATACGAAACACAGCAGCATTGAGCAGCTATTTTACGCTGGTTTTCTGTGAGAGCGTGGTCCTTCCCCGGTCGAGCCGACCCATTCGTGCTACTACTATACTACTAATATAGCTGCAGCATTGCTCTACCACGTTAAAGAAGAAGAAGGTTTTTATTATTGATGATCTGGTTTGTCACTCTGATATTTAAAAAAATATCACTGTTATATTACGTGATAATGTTAAAGTTAGTTTTGAATGTGTTTTAATTATAATTTAAAGTAGGTTTTTGTTTTTGCGTACATAGACATTAATTTGGAATCGATCTTATGGCACTCCCGCTTTGGTAATCTTATCGGTAATAATGTCTATAGAATTTTTATTGAAGACTAGCTGGTACCCGCGACTTTGTCCGCTTTGCTTGGTATATTAACAAAGAAAACACATCACTGAACACGTAGTGTTTATAAAAATCGTTGTTTCTTAAAACTTTAACAACTTTATATTAAATGGAGATATCACTTTTTTTTTTAGATAAGAGTCAAGTGTCTAAGACATAAAACTTAGAGAACCTAATTGAATGCAAACCTCTTTCATTTTATTTATATAGATACAATACCAGAAAATTATATTTAAAAAAAAAGAACATAAAATATAAGGAAAGCGCGATACATTCCAAAAAAATCCTTAATCGGGTTCTGGAACTCGTCTGTAATAAAAGAGTTAACTTTTTCTATTGAAGTTATTAGGCTTGAAACCTGTTTTATAGCCCCGATAATGAACTCGAATGACCTTACAAAAACTACGGTTTATCTGTTAGTAACATGAAAACAGGTAAAGTTATGAAATAAACGTTTTTAATAGATTTTATAATTTTAAATGTACTTATTACGAAATGTTTTAAATGTATTACCAGACTTATGTAACAGTTTATGTAATATGTACATTGGATTGGTAAAATGTAAAACATGCGCGATTAGATAGGGGGTAAGGTCGGATGCAGTGTCAGACACGCAGAGACTATCATAACAAACTGACCCAAATAACCAGCAACTTTAGTTAATTTTGATGAATTTTACCAGGATCACATAAACACTATTGCTATTTCATTCTATTTTAATGGTACTTCTGTATTTCGATAGTATAATATTATTTATTATCTGAAACACCATGATGCACTGTAATAACTAATAACCATCATGTTTCATGGGAGGAGTCAGAATTCGACTAAAGAAAATCCTCAATCAATTACGACTTTATCCTTAAAAGTAAGTTCTCTGTTTCTTTATAGTATAACTAGCTGACCAGCCAGACGTTGTTCTGCCCTTTCTAACGACCATTTGCTTTCCTAAAAAAAATCATTAAATTCACAATAAAAAAAATTGAGGGTCACTTATCGGGATAAAAACTATCCTATCTTCTCAAGTTGGACCAAACTGCACACATTTCATTGAAATCAGTTCAGTAGTTTAGGAGTTCATCGCGGACAAACAATGTGACATGTAATTTTTATATATAAAGATAATTATGACATCATTTCAAGAAAAGAGCGTACTCCTTTTTAAAAGGCCGGCAACGCATCTGCAATTCCCTCCCTGGTGTTGCAGTTGTTCATGGGCGGCGGTAGTCACTTACCATCAGGTGAGCCGCATGCTCGTTTGCCCCCTCTCCTATATAAAAAAAAATCCTCATCATTGCATTTTCCTTTTTTTAATAGCTGTATCAGATGATGCTATAAGAGTCTAACATCACCAACATCTCAGAAGATAGAGACTATAATTAATAATACATTTGATAGTGTATTCAATTTGAAGAGTATAATATTTTTACAACTGCCAATTTAATATAGACGAATATTAGACGGAATATTATAGACGATTCAATATTGACATAATAAAGCCGCTTACAATGCTGATCGCAAAGAAATGTAGCTGACTGTCCGTTTTTGATGGATTACAACGCGCTAATTAGAATATCTTCCTCTTTATAAACATTTTATTTTACTTATAAGAAATTATTACATTCTATCGAATTTAAGAAACCTCAACCTGCTTACTGGAAGTTTGCAACAAATTTTCTTTTTAATCCAATTCACGTGTTTTATATTTCGTTTACCGGAAAATATATAAGCCGTATTAAGCGAAGTGAAGGGCTGCCCTCCACTAGATTTATTGACGACCTGGTAAGATATGCAGGAAGTCGATGGATGTGCAGGTGGTTCAGGACTGTGGTTGGGGCGTTCCTTGGCGGAGGCCTATGTATGTTCAGCGGTGGACTTGTGAAGGGGCTATTATATTTATAAATGATTCCGTTTTTTTTTCATATTAATATTATACAGTCCAGAATGTACGTAAAAACCCTTTATAAAACTGACGTCTTAAAGTTATTAAATGATTAAGTCAAGTATGTTCCCGAACGAATAGTTTACATAAACAATTTTTCCAAGCACTTCCATTATATTACAACGGAACGTACCGAAAAATATCGTTTCTTGAATAATAAAGGATTCGGGTATCGGCGTATGAATTCTAAATCTAAAAAGGACAAATATTCGTGCCATGCAAAGGGCATTGACTTGTTGGCTTTGAAGTAAGGCGTTTTTCATCGTGGCATTGACACTGCGGGCGTGACTTTCTTATAACTTATGACTTGTGATTTCATCAGATTGTTAGGTAATTTTTGAGGCAGAATCTTATATTTCTGAATACCATGAATAAATAACTAACCATCGATTATAGATGCTATTTCAAATATTAATTTTAAATACAAATACTCATAGTACACATAATTTATACATCATGTATCATTACATCTTAATTTGAAAAAGATGACGCAACAAATGCAACATGTTTTGATGCATTTCGCAATGTTTAAGCATTTGCTTTTATGAAGCGTTTGCATTCACCTACATAAAGTATTATTTTTGAAGTAACATTCATCAAATTTTTTCAATTCAAAAAATTTTAACAGTCATCAAATTGTCGGAATTGGTGCTTCATTTAATAAATTTAACTTTTGAAAGTTGTCGTCGTAATCGCGCCGTCCGCGATTTGAACAGTTTTCCTGCACAGTTCAAGCCGTATTTAACCGCAATGTTAACATGTCCCTTATTTAGCATTTTGGCAAGGGCAAAGGTACGCTGCACTTTAAAAAGAAAAGAGTTATTTTTTAAAGTGCGTCCTTTGTAAGAAGTCCATAGTTGTTTAATTTTAACAAGAATTTATGAATCAATTGCTTACTATAAGAAGTAATGCAAAATATAAAAATATACGATCTTTTAGTTTTCTAAAAGGTAAGGTAAAGGGTAAGGTTCCTTTTACATAAGTAAATTATTAAATACCCCAACTGCAGTTATCAAACTAAGATTATGTATAGATTTCATATACATAAATCAGGAAACAAATCGACTGAAATGTCATGTGTCAAAACAGACGACAAATTTAAGAGGTTAGTACGGACTCGAAAACGGACATGCATAATCGCCAAAAATATTTTTTTTTTTGTGATTTGACTACAGCTGGTTTAAAACATACTTTGGACTACTTTCATTAGTTATTATTTACTACTAGCTGTGCCCAGAATGCGTTTGTTATTCATCATTACAGCCTATAAAAGTCCCCTGCTGAATCTACCATAGATTGCCTTATATGGAGGATTGTACCATAGTTGCCACGCTTGGCATGTTGGTTGGCCACCACAGTTTTTATTTTTATTTTGAGATGATATCAGGAAGATACTGCTGTCCATCACCATGTTCTGTTTCTCTCTGTCATTAGAAACAAACATACGGATAAAGTATACTGATGCTATTACAAATACCACAGAGACATTACAAAATTCCGATCAAAATACTGAACATACGGGTATAAAAGAAAAGTTTACGGAGACATCGTCAAGAGATAAGATCGCGAAGACTGAAAAAAAAAACATTAAAACGCCTTTAACTTCCACTGACACTGTAATAATTAAAATAGTACTCCGAAGTATTATCACAAAATTCCAATCCGAGTATTGCACGTACGGGTATAAAAGAAAACTTTACAGAGACATTGTTTTGCAGTAAGACCCTCAACAGATATCACTTACGACACCCACGGAACGATATGGATATGGGGTAGTGTATATTCTGACACCGCCAGTACACGGTTACTAAAATAATCAGTTATTAATTACTACTGTCTATGCTACGACTACGAGTACTAAAACAGAAAGTTCTGCATTCGACTATGTTGTATGTTACGCGATACTTTTATCAATTGTAAAACGATTTTAATGATTCTTTTTTTTTATATAGAAATTTCATACTATGAGCGGGAAATGTAGGTGATGAAACGATGAAATTTTTAATAATTATTTAGAAAACATTCCAGTTGTAACATTGATCTAGTGATATTACCTACTTAGTCCACTCAAGGTCTAAAAATCAAACCATAAAATGAAAATAGCATTTCGCAGATGGAACAATGTACACCTCGCATTAAATACCGTGGTAGAGCCGCGCTGTAGCTATATTATGATTGTAGCACGGTTGGATCGGCTCGATCAGGGAAGGACCACGCTCTCACAGAAGAATACCAGCTTAAAATAGCGGCTTAATGTTGCTGTGTTTCGTATCGTGAGTATAGTGAACCGGAGACCCGAGACCCAAACGAGGCATCTGGCGACAACGCATCTGCAGTCTTAATTGAGTCTGCAGGTCACAGCATCCACTTACCATTTTTTTTTTATAGGATAGGGTGAAAAACGCAGAGCACACAGCCCACCTGATGGTAAGTGTTGACTGATTGTTGTGACCCATAGACATCTACATTTATCCTCAATAAAGAATCAAAATGCAGATGCGTCGTCACCCGTGAGGACTAAGATGGAATGCCTCTTTTCCAGTAAAATGGGTCTCCGGTTCTCTACACTCACCATACGAAACACAGTACTATCAAGCTGCCAGATGCCAAGCACTTACAATTAGGTGGACTTTGTGCTTTTTTGTCACCCTTCTTATAAAAAAAAAGCCTTACATGCATACATACATACATGTGTAAATATGTAAACCACCTAGTATTTTGGTTGCTCGTCAGCTAGGTCTAAAATACACAAAGGTGTTTACTGTTGACAGTTAAAGAAGGTACCTGACAATTCTACACTAACAAAAGTTATATTCTGTCGCAGGGTGAAACAATGCACGGCGGAAAACCAGACCTTAATGAGGAGAATAAAAATGCTGCAAACTCAAAATCAGACGCTCACGGCCCAGTTGAAGAGGATACAGGTAAATTATTCATGTTATTCGTGTTTTTCTAATAGGTTTCGCCGCAGTCCGAGTATATGTAACACCCTTATTAAAAAAAAGTGAGAGACAGTTCTCCCGAAGGAAAGTGGCTACTTGAGATCTGCTTTATTCACTCCCATCCATCCATTCATTAGGGGAGACCGGGGATGGTTGACCAAATTTCAGTGAAGACGCTTGTATTTTCATTGTTTTGATGTATATTATTGTAAAAATCAATACATCTGATAGGTAAACTATTAAGCTTCTGTAAAAAATAACAAAAAGCTCGCAATCAATTATGATAAAGGGCACAAGCTTAATTTTGTAGAACACGAAATGTGAGTCAACCTACCCCATGCCCGGGGTTGGTTGACTTGTCACTAGGGGTAAGTTGACCTATGAAATACTTAGCAAACATTATAGGAATATTTATGATAAAAAATATAAGAAGTATTTGTAATTTTATTACAATTAAATTTTTAATCCTGACAATTTAAATATACATCATAAATTATTATAAATTAAAATAAACAATCATACATTTAAAAATTTGTCAACTAAACACTGAAAACATAATACTTTTTGTGTCTGAAACTAGAAAACTTTTATTAACTCAATAACATACAAAAGAAAAAAACAGTCTTGACTAATTCAACTAATATAATTACATATTTTTAACGAAATAGATCACATTTTTGGAATTATCAAATCAGTCTTCTAAATCTGAGGTGCAATTTTTGCATTAATGGAACAAAATATTACCATTTGCACAGTGTTGTGCATGGGCCCATAACTTGCACATAGTGCACTGAATCCATGTTCCTCCAGAAATACTCATGTACAAATGTGAGATTCAGTGCACTCTAAACAAAATGTATCATCCTCATCACTTTTGTATTCTTCGTCACTATTCCTCTTAATTGTCCCATGAAAATCTTTTTTCCTCTTTCTTTTCTTTTACCCTTGTTAGTCTGTCTGTATAAATAGTGCAAACTTTCGAGTTTCATAAGGAGTAAATGTGTAATAAATATCAGCTGCCCTCTTGAGGTAATTTTCTAATGCGAGTTCTTCCTCATCACTAAATATTTGTCTATTTTTAGTGCAGCCAGCGCTCCCAAAGTCAATTTAAATCTCGTCAATGCCGGTTTTCTTTCTAACATTTTCTTTATTTTTAACACCTGGTGTTGGGTGTTATAAACAGTAGCAAATTCTTTTGCTGTAGAATTAATACATATTTTTATAACTTGTTGACATGCTCTATCGAAGACATCTTTGGGTGTACTTCCTCGATCAGTCTTTTTTTTTTGTACGTTCGCATGGTTTTGCAACAAGCATTTGATAAATTAAAAAGAAAACTAACTTTATTCCATGTAAAGTATACCCAGACTACTATGGGGTAGGTTGACTATGTGGTCAACCAGCCCCAAAATAAATTAGTCTACCAGCCCCGGATCGCTTTTTAATTTTTAACCACATGGTGTAGCCTCAAAACTGTGGCGAAATAAAAAATAATGATACGTAATAAAAAGATTATCAATCCAACTTTTAGTTTAAATTACTTGAAAGTAAATAACAACGAGTATGTAGGCGTTACTACAAAATATATTAGAAGGTAAACAATTACATACATTGTTTGTTTTTGGATATTAAACTCCTTCTCCCAAACCACGTGCTTAGACGATGCCGCTCTTCCGGTACCTTAACGGGGTTAGAAAACGGTTTTTCGCGCCTACTTGGATAAGGCAACACTTTTGAGTAGGTCGAGTTTTTGAGAGCAAGTCAACCTGCCCCTATAGTCAACCATTCCCGGTCTCCCCTACAGCCTATAACAGTCCACTGTTGAACATCCACCCCCTGCGTAGATTACCACATGGGGGAAACTAAGAATTTAAAAAGGGCTTGTCTATCTTACTAAGTAATTACAACAAGAAATATCCCAAAACACGAAATTTTATTATCTGTACGAAATTCTCATACAAGCCTGCCGTTCGCCTTTGTACATTATTTCTAATTTCGAGTCTATAAGATCCATTAATTAATTAAAGATTCAGATAAAATTATTATAGAAAACCGGACACTCCGTGCAAGTACCGATCGATACATTGATACAGTTTTAATCAGCTTAAGTAGAAGAGCTAATGCCGTTCATAAATTGTTGCTGCTATCGCCCTACCCTATATACCTAACTTCAATAAAATTGAAATAGGTTATCGGATTTATTCAAAACAAACTGACCTCGACTTTGTTCTTCGTAGCCTGCAATTAAGACGTCTAAATCGAGTGAAAACATTACCTCACTGATAAGTCGTGGGTCCTATGTTCGAATTCCAGTCAAAGCATTTTTATGCTTGTACTCAAATTGTTGTCATTGTCTCCTTGTTCCTGACACTATACCCGTACTTATCATAATAATAATGAATACTAACCTAGATCTTATTGAAGATTATGGGCACGGGTAGATGTTATGCTAGTGATTGCTTTCTGTAGCACGATATCATAATAATATATGTATTATTATGCGCTCGGTAGCTCCCGAGAGAGTTCGGGACGTTGTCTCAATGTTTGAAATCGATGAGGGCATTATTAACATTATACACCTAAATTGTAAGACAGAAAATGTTCACACCATCAGTTCACAATCCTGGGACAGACAAATGAAAAAAAATTCGTACTTCGGATTTTTCCACCCTTTCGTTATTGACTTACCACGCATTCGAACCAAACGGTTCGCCACGTCGTTCATCACGCGTACAGCAAAGGAGTGGAATAAGTTGCCAGCATAATATGTCTTTCCATCCGATTACATTGTGCGTGTCTTCAAGGCAAGAGTGAATAGGCTTTTGTTAAGTCAGTGCGCTTCACCATCTTAGGCTACATCACCACTTACCGTCAGGCGGGATCGTAGATAAGCGCTGGCTTAGTAGAATATACTTGGAATGAAAATTAAAGAAAAAAAGTATTTGAAAAATACTTTTTTTTGGTAAAGAATAATGGTGACAAAGCGGCGCACAGTCCATCTGATCGTAAGTGGTTGCTGCGGCCCGTAGACATCTACATCTCTCCTTCATTAGCAATAAAATGATCTGCATTTTAATTCTTGTCACCTCTGACCCTCTGAGGTAGAATAATCCGTTTCCAGTATGAAGGATCTCAAGTTGTCTTACTTACCATACAAAACACAGCAGCATCATTAAGCTGCTATTTTACGCTGGTATTCTTTAAGAGCATGGTCACAAGCATAATCTAGCTGTAGCATGTAACCACTACGTAAAAAAAAACCTTAAAGTTAAATTATTTTCAACACAAATAATGACATATTAAGTGACACGACATGCAAACCTTTTCGAAAAACAAAGTTATATAAAAGCTTTTAGAAAAATTTACTTCACAAATATCCGCGTTATAAAATAAAATGATGTGTCTTACCTAGTATGAAGAGCACCTCCCGCCCTCCCTCAATTGCGTGCACTATCCCCGTCACCACTAATCTCAGCACCGCTACTCCCAACACCACTACACTAGGCAAAAGCTTTTAGAAAAATTTACTTCGCAAATATCGCAAATAACGCGGATATTTGCGAAGTAAATTTTTCTAAAAGCTTTTATATAATGGGTTTCCGCAAAGTAACGCCTGATTCTATTAATTATAAACAAGGTTATATCCAGTGCACCGGATTTTCAACCTTAAAGACGAAGCAACGGATCAAGGAATATTAAAATACTCCAACCATTGAGACTGCTGTCGAAGTATACTGCTACTGCTTGAGTTAGGCTAGCTGGCTCATGTAAACTGTAAAGTTTCTGCTCTAGAGAGCTAAGTTGGTTTGACGTTACTTAGATTATTACTTTGCTGAACTAACAAACTTTGAATAGGTTTACATTGAGACGTTTCGACGTAGTTCAGTGTTGAAGTGATGAAAAAGGACCCTTGTAAAGAGAGTTTCAATATACACTATTACAAATTAGGGATGTCACAGGGGATTTATCTACTCTAAATTCTAACCACATCACACGGACGGGGTAGTTTGTAAAAGGAAAAAATATAACTCAAGTTTTTCTCGTAGATTCTATTGTTGTCTTAAATAAGGCTATACCAATAAATTATATGAATTAATGTTCTTTAAAAACAAGCGAGTAACGGTAGCAATGGGTGCACGCACGCACGCGCGCACACATACACACGCTCATGTGTAAATTAGCTTACTTTTTTTTAATAACTAACTTTACGGCTCAGGGTTCTACCCCTTCTGAGCCTGAAGTTACAATGTATAATTATCCTTCATAGTACACTGCTAACAATACTATGTTGATGCGTCACTTTTTGCAACCCTTGGGAGATTTTGACGGCAAATTGAGCCAGCCGACAGCTGACAGTTGGCGATGGTATTTCATGGCACCTTAGCAGACAAACACCTTACCTTATCTCGAGAATCACATCATCATCAGAGCACTAGTTTTACCGTTTCCACTAATAGTAATAGTTCACATGCGCAGACACTTAATACACAAAATCGCACCACTTTTACATATCAAAGTCCACTTCAAACCATTATTTAAACAATAATACAGGAGCAGCAAACAGACGCCGGTCAAATTCCCGCCAAAACTCCTTAGCTTAACTATTATAACTTTCACATAGTTGGTCATGCGTACAGCAAAGGAGTGGAATAAGTTGCCAGCACAGGGGCGTAGCTACCGCCGTATCAATAATACGGGGCCTTCGGGCTACAGGGGCCCCAAACGTATGTAAGTAAAAATTCTAAGGACTTCTATGGGACAGGATGTTGGTTTGAATTGTTTGGCTAGCTTAGTTCCTAGGAGTATTAATTGTAAGTATTAACTTATAATCAATATATAATTATTTTAATTCAATGCGAGTGTTTTTGTTCCTTTTGTGAAAACATTTTCCCTTCCTTTGCCCCCCCCTCCCGACAAATTTTGATACAGGGTGCCTCTAAGGCACGCTACTTCACTGTGCCAGCATCTGTCTTTCCATCCGA